TGGAAGGGGTGGGGAGAGGGGCAGATCGAGGCCCCCGTAGTGAGGGTGGGGCCGGGGCAGGATGGAGCTGCAAGCAACTTGTCTGTGGGTGTGGGGGGCGGGCAGCGGCTCCTGCTGCTGCATACACCTCAGGAGGGCATGGGGGTGTGTGCCCCTAGATCTGCGCATGGGGAGAAGGTGGGCTGCTGCTGCAGGCTGGGGCCAGGGCTGCGCTGAGCTCTTCCCGGTGGCGGGGCTGGTCCAGGCTTCACTCGGGGCGGGTGGTGGTAGCACTGGGAGTGGGGGTTGGAGGGGCTACAGCGAATTTTGGGGTGGCTGCAACGCCCCCCCCCCCTTTCCCAGTGCCGCAACTGCCCACCCCAAGTGCAGCCCGGTCTGATCCCAGCCCGCAATGGCAGCCCACCATTGTACCACACATAGATCTGGGAGCGCATGCCCCCATGTCTTCTTGGGGTGCATGCAGCGGTGGGAGCCGCCGCCTGCAGCCCCTGGAGACGCCACTTGTGGCTCCATCCCATGCCCTGCCCCAGCTGGGCAGCATCTGGCCCTGCCCCACTCCCAATCCCTCCCTGACCACAGGGGCTTCGATCTGCCTCTCCCCCCTTCCCTCCCCCCACAACAGACTTACTAGCCAGACGCTGCTCTCCATGCTGCCAGGGTACATATCAGCAATCAGATCAGCATATACAACTTGTTAAAAATCAGGTATTGGCCCAAAAAATTTCTTATCGGGGCACTCCTAAAGATTATTCTAGACCCACTAGTAATAAGCAAAAGACTCACAATTGTGGGCACTGTTTCCGATAGGCAATTGTTAAAACTAGCAAACCCAACAGCACGATCAAAAAATGAACTGTCAATGTTAAACATGTTTTTTACAGCATGACTTTTTGCCTTAAAGAGTACCTCTTCTTACCATGAGAAAAGAGTATCCAATCCAAAGGCTGCGCCAGCCAGCAGGGCACTGTGGAATGGTTATGTCCTGGCTATGGATGGCGATAGCCTGGGAAGGTGCTTCACATACTGAGCAACGACTGATATACTGTGCAATCTGGAAGCTGGTCACGGGCATCATAGGGATGGGAGCAGTGGTGGACAGCCAGAAGGACTTGTCATTTCGACTGGCATAGTAGCACACTTCATTAATGTTACAGTAAATAAATGGCATGGTGCTGAAGCGAGGCAAACAGGAGCCAGCAAAACCTGGGGGAAGGGGAGATTCATGTCAGCCACCTGCCAAAATGCTAGAACTCAAAGAATAAGCACATGACAAGTATCAGTGTATATGAACCAGACATGAGTTGAATTCACACCCACCAGAATCCCCCATGACATCAATGGAAATTGTACAGTGCACACTGAAGAATAGAAACTGGTCTGCATTGTTCGACTCAGACTTACCAAGATCCTGGTTATGCGCCTTTTCCTGCCCCTCCACGTATAACAAGCTGTAACCATCCCAGAGCTTATTCATTCCTATTGGGCATGGTGGGATCTGTTCTGACTGGCTGTGTTTCACTAAAGTGTAACCAACGCTTATGCTCCGACCAGGCATTCCAGGCAAACCAATAGGGCCGGGCTTTCCAGAGACACCTGGGAGATAAAGACATGGCAAATTAACAACAGCTGACGTGTGAGTTAGCTGAGTCTGTATTAGCTCTGTGTTCTGACATTTGCCACTTGACTAACTTGGTGAAATAGACTTGTTGGAATTTGCCTAGCTGTAACCATTGTACCGAGGTAAACACAATTACATATCAAAGTTGTAGAGCACTAATTACTTTTAGAATCCAATTCATAAGTCCACCTTGTCTTTCTGCCTATGGACCTCAAAGCACCATACAAGCACTGATTAACTTTCACAACAGTACCCCATATGATGGTATTCCCACAATGCAGAACAGTTAAGCAGTGTGTTCACAGTTGTAGAGCAAGTCTATGGCAGCACTGGGGCAAAACCCACACCTTCCAACTCCAGAAAGCACCAAGATACACCTCTCATCCAGCACCAACCATCTCTATTTTGCCCCTTTTAAGTTCCACAACAAATGCCATACCCCTGTCCTTCCAAACCTTACTACCTACCTTGTCCAGGAAGCATTGCAGTCCATGACTGCACCTACTGAAACATCAGCAGTGACAGACAGCAATGACTTCCCACGGAGGGAGGTGCTCACTCCTACCTGCATCGCCCAAAATGAAATATACCCCAGCGCACAGACAAGACATAATCCCAGGTACCACTTGGGACCTCTCTAAGTCAGTGCTGAAATTATGTGATGTTTATGGCCTGGAATGACAACTCAACAGTAGGGAAAATCCAGCCTAAGAAACCTAACTGCCTGATCTTTCACTATCTTCCATGCCCTCAAAGAAAAGAATAAAGTTACCTTCATATCCTTGTTGTCCTGGGATACCTGGAGATCCTGGATCTCCAACTATGCCGCGTGGTCCAGATAAACCATCACGTCCTTTCAGACCAGATCTGCCTGGTAAACCTTTTGGACCTAAAATTAAAGATAATCACTATTAATGCTGTTTCTCATACCAAAGCCCTTGCTCCCTAAATCAGGAGAGAAATATCTCATGAATATCAGGGCTTAACAGTGATTCTATAAGCACGTCTGTACTAGAACAGTACAGTGATTCTATAAGCACGTCTATAAGCTCTAGCCCTCACAGGGATCATCTGTGGTGGGCCAAGATGGCAGCACACAGATCTGGGTCAGGCTTAAGCTATAATGGGTTTTTGAGTGTGCAGCCAGATCAGGACTGAGCTTTCAGGTCTGGATTTGATGGAAGTGGAATTTCATAACCTACTCTCAGTCTCTCTAGATTTCTGTCATTGCAGACAGAGGAAAGATTATTCAGTCTCACAAGGATGTCATCAATTGAGGCTTAAATCTTGTAGAAATGGCTGTCCTTGTTTGATTCCAGTCATACTCAAACTAGGGCGGTCCAATGATTTAAAAATTTGATCGTGATTAGTTGCATGATTAAAAAACTTAGTCATAATTAATAGTGATTTTAATTGCACATCTAAAAACTCAGAATTATGCACAGAAAAACTGAAAATTATGCAAGATTATGCAGGTTCTTTGTATGGTTAGGGGTGGTAGTGGGGGGGGGTATGGGGGGACTTTGGGTGTGTATGTGGAATTTGGAGCTTGGGGAGCAGGGGTCCCTGCAGAGGGGTCAGAGCCCAGGGAGGGGAGACCCTTGCCCACGCTGGCAGAATGTGTGATACTGCGAGTCAGGAGTGAGGGGCAGCAGCAGGGCTAACGGGGGTGGGCTGTGGCTTGGGAGTGAGGGGCAGGGGCAGGGCACAAGCATATCACTGCTTCCCCAACCATATGATTCCACCCCGCAGGTGTCTTCTGTTTTGAAATGGAAATATAGTAACTCTCCAGGAATGCAGCCCAGCGGCATGTAGAGCAGCGCCCAGCAAGTTAAGTCTGGGAAGGGGAAGGGGCGGGAGCAGACAGACTGAGGCCCCCACAGTAAAGGAGGGAGTGGGACAGTGACAGGGGTGAATGGGACCCTGGGGCCGAGGCGAGTCATGGGAAGGAGCCGCAGGGGGCTCATCCAGGGGTGTATGGAGGGGTGGGCAGCTATCCACCACTGTGTGCACCTCTGGGTGGCATGGGGGACATGTGCCCCCTGCATTTGTGTGCAGGGCAGAGAAGGGCTGCCTGCTACAGACTGGAGCTCTGCACCCTGCTGCCTTTGCCCCAGGAGCTGCACATCCTCAGCTTGCCTGGTGGCGGGAGGCACAACATAGCATCGTGCAGCTCCCGGGGCAAAGGCAGCACGGCGTAGAGCCCCAGCCTGCAGCTTCTCTGCCCCACGCACAAATCTGGGGGGGCACATGTGCCCCATGCCTCCCCTAGGGGTGTGCGCAGTGGCAGAGAGCAGCCCCCCCCCCCGGATGAGACTCCCACGGCTCTGTCCCACAACCCACCTCAGCCCTGGCCCCTGCCCCAGGGTCCCATTCTCCCCAGCACCTGTCCCACTCCCTCTCTCACCATGGGGGCCTTGATCTGCTGCCCCTGCCCCTTCCTTCTACGCCACCCCTTCCCTTCCACAGACTTATCTGCTGGGCACTGTTCTACATGCCACCGGGCTGCATTCCTGGCTGTGCCTGCTGTGGCTATGTGCCTGCACACAGCATCTTCATATGGCACCAATATAATCGGGGCACCTCTAAGCGCATGCATGCATGCGCATGCCCCGCCCCACCCAGCTGTACCAACCCAGAGTCTGCACTGCCCTACGGGTCCTCTTCACTTCCACTGCTATGCCACTGGGCAGCCCAGAGTCAGTGGTGATGGTGGCAGAGAGGAGATAGGTGCAGGCTCCAAAAGCACATGCGTGATTAATGCATTAAAAAAGGTAACACTTTAATTAGTTCTTGCGTTAATCATGCACAATGACTGCGATGAATTGGCAGCCTTAATTCAAACCAGAAATAGATTTCTCTTCCAACTTTGGACCTCACATGATCTAAATAATATAATGGCAGGTTTGGATCCAAGGATTCAAATCCGTTTCCTTCTCCCTGACTCATTGCCTGACTTCAGTGGGATGGACCATTGGAGAGTCTGGTTTTGGTCACTCTCCCTAAAACAGTAGCCCCGCACTTTAGAACGGGATGCAAGAGCACACACACATACCAACTGGGACTCTAAGATTTGCACAGTGTATTCATATGCACAACCAAGTTCTAATTATTTTCTTAATTGATCATATTAAGATAGGAAGTCTCAGCATTTCACTGGTGCATGACCTGATCCTGCATTCGCTGAAGTTAATGGTAAAATTCCTATGAACAGCAATGATGCAAAATTCAGTCCCTTAAGCACTGTTCCAGTATTTCATGTTGACACAATCTCAATATAGTTCTTACTGGTGAATCACTCTCAGATTCATTAGATCCATTGGCTTCTGAACTGACATCATGCAAGCAGCATCACAAATTGAATTTTTTAATTCCAGGAACTGAATGCAAAAAGTGCTACAACATCCCATGAAAAATAAATTAATGAAAAGACTTCCTACCTAATATTGAATTTTTTTAACAACATCAGCATGCATTTGCTGTGATTGTTTCTACTACAAAACTTCTCAAGAGAAGCCTTTGAATCTTGATCGCAAAATTTACAAAGCTACTTTCTGTTTACAGAAGCCAAGTGTTTCAGTGTCCCTTACTTGAATGTGGCATGCTTTACCTTGCTTCCCAAGTGGTCCCTGAATCCCAGGATCTCCAGCAAAACCGGGGACACCATCAATCCCAGGCAGACCTATTATACCAGGGGGAACTACAACTTCTTCTGGCTTTGGTGTTAGGCCCGGAGCACCAGGTAGACCTGGGGGACCTGCAGACATCATAAATAACACCGTAAACATCCCACGTGAAGTGTACAATTACGATGATTTACTGGCACAATAAATTGAGAATGCCCTGTTCAGGTGATGTTCACATTAAGTATTCATTCTTTACTGAAGTTTCCAAAAGTTCCAACCCTTCCTGTATATTTCTTGAATGTAGGTACTTTTGCCACAAACAAAGACTGTTGGGGATCTGGGGAAGCAAGAGCAGAAATCTCCCATAGAGGGAAAGATTCAAACACAGAGAGTTACAATTTCTGCAAAGAGTTGTCTCAGAAGAACAAAATAGTTGTCCATATTAAGTATCCTAGCCCCAAGCTCCCACAAAGCTGAGTATTGGGCCCCATCTCCACTCCGTGCTAACAAAAAGCTCCAACTTTTTAGTTGGATTCACCCAAAACCACAGAAACCACCCAGAAGGCGCCCTCCCTCCCACCTTTTCAAACTATTTACATTGCAGCACAGCTCTCAGATTCCTCTTGTACTTACCTCGACGGCCAGTGTCCCCTTTCAGCCCAGGGTGACCAGCATCCCCTGGAAACCCATCTTTCCCTGGCATCCCCATAAAACCTGGCTCTCCCCGGGCACCTGTGAATATAGAGAACAAAAGCATAAGGGAACCCTGAACACTAACCGTGGCCCTCTAAGTCCTGGCTGTTAGAGACATACTGGTGGAAACTCCCTCTAGGCACAGGATCCACTGACTGCCAGGTCAGCCCCTGCTTCGTAAAGAGCCTCTACTGCCCCAGCACTAACGGGATACAGGATCATGCAATCATAGGAAATCAGGGTTGGAAGGGACCTCAGGAGGTCACCTAAGTCCAACCCCCTGCTCAAAGCAGGACCAGCCCCAACTATATCATCCCACTCAAGGCTTTCTCTACCTGGGTCTTAAAAACCCCCAAGGATGGAGATTCCACAACCTCTCTGGGTTGCCTTTTCCAGTGTTTTACTAACCTTCTGGTGAGCAAGTTTTTTCTCATATCCAACCTAAACTTTCCTTGCTGCAACTTGAAACCACTGCTCCTTGTTCTGTCATCTGCCACCACTTAGGACAATCTAGCTCCATCCTCTTTGTAACCACCTTTCAGGCAGTTGAAGGACGTTAGCAAATCCTCTTCGTCCTCTCTTCTCTTGCACTTGATCTGAATACTTGCAAACATTATTCCCTCCCTTGCCAACGTTCCCTGGGGGTGGTGCTGGGAAGGATGCAGTTTCCTCATGTGCAACCTTTTCCATTCACAGCACTAAGGATGGGTTTTTCCCTGTGGTGGTGACCTCCAGAAGACCCTCTGTCCTGCACTGACCCTTCTCTCCTGGGTCCTGAGTTGTTTTTCCTGAAGCCATGTTATTACTGCCTCTTGACTGCAGCCATCCTTCGGACCTCTCCAACAGAAATCAGAGGAAAGGTGAGGTGCTTCCCAGTGACCCAGTACTGACCCATTGCCTCCCACAGATCTATCAGTTTCCACCATCTTGTGGATCCCCCAGGTCCATGACATGACCTCAGCAAGTCCCAGAGGATGTGCAAACAAAGTGGAACCACACTGTGGATGCAAGATCTTCTGCAAGGTAGTGCTTTCCAGAGCTCTGGCCTAATTTTGGTCCACTTAAGGGCAAAACTCCCATTGCCTTAGGCTGGCTCCAAGTGCTTTGGAAAATACCACCTTTAACAGATTAGAAGACAAGTCTTCATGCTCACACATCCACATCAAACCCATATTCATAGCATTTATGGTCATGATCCAGCAGCTCTTTGCACTAGTAAGGGATACCTTCAGTACTGTACAGCAGTGGTCAGCAACCTTTTTCAGGCTGTGGGCTGGAGTGACACCGTTTGGGTCAGAGGTGGGGGGGAGAGGGGTGCTAGGACCCACCTGTTGCCACTGCTTGTCCCCACAATGGCAGGGGAAAGCGACTGCTGCCAATCCCCCATATCTGCAGGTTGGATCAAATGGGTACATTTGTCTGCAGGCTGCAGTTTGCCGACCTCTGCTACAGATAGTTAAAGAAAGCTTACCTTTGAGTCCTGAAGCTCCTGGGATTCCAGTTGGCCCAGGAAGCCCCATGTCACCTTTTGGGCCTGGGAAACCAGAAACACCAGGGACACCTGGAATGCCTGTATCACCTTGATCAGATGCTGGGCCAGGGGGCCCTGGGGGGCCAGGGGGGCCAGGAAGACCTAGAGACAAAGAAGTCAACAAGATCACTCCTCTAGCACACAAGTACTACCATTAGCCTCCACCACTGACCTTGGGAAATTGTCTTTGTTCATTAATTGTGAGCGTCTGTCATCGGATGGGTTTCCCAGCTTATGGATGTGCTAAAGCAGGGGTGGGCAAAATGCAGCCCACAGGACAGATGCGGCCTGCCAGGCCATTCTATCTGGCCTGTGGGGCCCCTAACAAATTTAGAAAATTAATATTTAATTAATATTTAATTAATATTAAGGGCCTGTCATGTGGCCCTTGATGGCTTGCCAAAGCTCAGTAAGCGGCCCTCCACCTGAAATAACTGCCTGCCCCTGGGCTAAAGGAACTAACAATATGTCTCCTCCCTCAGAACATTCAGCTCACCAGGCCCAGCAGGAACTCTGCTCCTCTGTGTTCTGGGTCAAGCCCTTATTTCTTTTAGTTCTTCATCACAAGGGTGTGTGGGAAGGGGAGGGAAGGGAGCAGGGCAGGGCATCTCATTCCTTCACACTGTGACAGCTGGTGAATCAAACGTCAAAGTATGTGCAATGAGGGCAAGAACCACCTTCGTGTTCTTTGTCTGTAAAGGACCAAGCACAACGGGAGCATGCAGTATATGACTAGGGATCTCAGATGCATCCACAGTGCGAATGCTAATGGCAGCATGACAGAATCCCAATACAACAGTTAATTAACTGCAATATTAATGTTTAATCCATATCACTTACTTTATACATAGACGTGACTTGTCATCCAGAAGCAAAGTGCTTTATGGAGGTGAATAAGCACCCCCATAAATTACAGTTGGCGTTACTGAGGCATAGAGAGGTAAGTGACTAAGCCCTGGTCAGTGGCAGAGCCAGGAGCAGAACCCAGACCCCTTGATTCTCAAGCCCTGCTCTAAACACCAGGGGCGCTTATACACATGCATGGAGGCTGTTCCAATGTGCTGTAATTACAGCATGTTGGAGCAGACTCAATTAACTGAGTCAATTAATTGAGTCTGCTGGAGCGCAGTAATTACTGCCTCCATATCACATGTAGCAACAGCCCCATGCTGAAAAATGGTGGCAGGGGCGCTTTAACTAAAGCTCATTTGGTGAGCTTTAGTTAAAATGCCCCTGCTGCAATTATTCAGCATGGGGACGCTAACATGTGATGCTCCAAGCACTTTAATTAGAGCACATTTGGGAGCTGTGCTAATAAAAGCTGTCTCCCTCCCCACCAACACGTCCCGGAGCATGCGTATAAATGCCCCAGCTCATTAGACTGACTGCTCATAAAGCCAGTTTTCCTTTCCAAGTTCTTCCTAGGATGCACATGGAAGACTGGCAGTCAGCCTTGCTCTTCATATGGCTAGAGTACAAAACACAAATGAACTGCAGCAGAGAGGCCTCAATCTCCATACCTGGACTCCCATTGACTCCAGGACGGCCAGGATCACCCCGTCTCCCACGTATGTCAGAAGGAATAGAGATGCCAGGAGCTCCTGGTAGACCAGGCAGCCCCACAGGGCCAGGTAGACCTAGAATCAAAGAGGAACACTCAGAACCAGACAGTGATCGGGGCTCTATAGCAGTGGTTCTAAACCATTTTTAGACTCAAAGCACCCCTCTAACTGTTGTGAATTGAGCGGCACCCCATTTAAAAAACTAACTTATGTATTACAGGGCTTACACATCCTTGTAGAGACATCAGGCAGTGGGGTTAGGGCAGTAGCTAAGCAGGGAAAACCTGAGCCTGCCTTTATCTGCTTATCTCCTCACACTGCACTTATCCCTCCACACCTTCTGAGACACCCTTCAAAATATCTGCATCCCAGGGTACCCAGGCATGCTGGTGGAGAATCACTGCTCTATACTAATCATCAGAGATTCTCTGTGTGAATGGTGCAAAATTTATATTGATAGGATTAGTGGCTGTTGGATGTTATCCTAAAAAATAAGGAAAACCCCATCCCTTTTCACACCCCACTCCCCTTCTCTCAGAAAAGAACACCACAACATTTTTCTTTATTTGGGAGGATGAAAAGACAACTATAAAAACTATTTCATCAGTGATTTTTCACTTATTAGACTCACGTCCATTTACAAAACAATGGGCCCATCTCTATGACTCACTGTTAAACTGCACTGACCCTATTTGCCCCAAGTCTTTGTATACTCCATCAGACATTATAGCACATCTGCTTCTAGGACTGTTACTATTTACCCATGTCTCCTGAGGATCCTTTCAGCCCAGGGAGTCCTGGAGTTCCTATGCCAGCTCCTGGAGGACCTTCTTCACCCTTAGGACCTGGAAGTCCTGCAGGGCCTTGCAATCCAGGTTCACTTAAGCCTAATCAAACACATTTAAAGATGACAAAGAGGCCTATTAGGACAGCTTCATGGAAGTTAGATTAATACACTTTGATACATTAAGATTAATGTAACGCAGTTAAGATACAGATTTTTCCATTCATCCCTCTGCTTCCTGGACTCCAGAGAAATTGCTGGGCTGACTCTGGCCTCTCATATGCTGCTCTAGGTGTGTACTGTGGATACAAGAAGCCATGCAGGAGTTAGCAGGGAAGTTCCTCTGCAAATGAGCAGCATGGACAATGCTGCTTCTCTTTCAAGCCCTGGCACATAGCCCACAAGCACGTGCCCATAAGCAGCTGGTGCCATGAGAATTCTGGGCTGCGCTGGAGCCCACAGCCAGCCGGCCAAAGAGCCCTTTGCTTCCCCTTCACCTATGCTGTGCCTCTGAGAAGGGACAATACAGAACGGGATCCTCTGGCTTGGGGCTCAAAATGGAGGGATTATCCGGCAGGTTCACACAAACACCTGAGCTCTATCAGGACAGAAGTTCCTGGGCAGAGCTGTAAGGAGATGCTTATACTACAGGATCCAGCAGCAGCCTACACCAAACTAGTCTCTCAGTTCTCAAAACGAATTGAACTCGGAGCAAATGGAAAGTCATGTTAAGAAAATGCTTCAGAAAATACAGCAAATGGTGTAAATCAGGGAAACACTAAGCACACAGCGTGTGGTTTTACAAAATAGGATTTTGTATTCAGTCTTAATACTGTTTTATACTGTCATAGTAGGGTTAGAGTGTTGTTGTAGCTTTGGTGGTCCAGGAAATGTACCAGAGGCAAGGATTTTTTTATGGCACCTTTGGATTTTTTTCTCCACCTGTGGAGAACAGCTGGATAAGCTTTTGGGTGATCAATGCACCTCTAATGCTAATCCTAATCCTGTTACTTTTTATGAGTAATCTCTGTCGCTTCTACTGCCATCATGAGTGAGGGCTACAAGAACAGGCCTTAAAGGGGAATCTATGAGTATCAAGTCATTTTTTTAACTGCAAACCAAACCAAATATCCAGCCATTGCTTTAGTAAAATCAGAACAACAGATATACAGATAGAAAAGATCTATAACTTCATTAAATCAACTGTCTGGCTGCAACAGGACTCTTTAGGAGTTCAGGCAAAATCTAGAAATCCATCTAAATGGCACCTGCCAAAAGGCCATTGAGTTTATTGTTTACATACATTTTACATGTGAAATCCCACTGTCTCTAGTATTAAAATTGTATCACTGAAACAGAAATTTGATTACAAGCATTTAGTAAGAATACTCGCACTAGCTGCAAAATATGATTTATTTCTTACTTCATTTAATTCCAGCATGACTAAAATGGACCTATTTGGTGACAAAACGGGTATATCTACACATGCAATTAGCACGGAAAAATAAACTCTGGTGCAGTTTGCACTGGAGTCAACAGCTCCAGGGCACAGCGTCTGCATGTGCACCTGGGACCACAGCAATTTGAGCAGAGGCAGAGGAGCCTGAGGCTGGCAGGGAGCCTGGGGGGGCCAGCCCCATATACCAAGTGCTAGCGCTGGGCAGCAGAGAGGATGGCTGGGGCACAAGTTGGCTACAGTGCACGGCTAGCCAGCAGGCAGCCTCTGCATTGTAGCACTCGTGCCCCAGCCAACCCTGGTCACCATTTACATGTGCACTGCAGTGGCATAAATTACTCCACTGCAGGATAGTACTTGTTGCAGACAGTATTTATGGCAGGCTTAGTTTGTGGGCACACATGTAGATAGTGACACTTCACTGCTGAGCTACTTAGTGAACTATGCAGTAAAGTGCACATGGAGAGGCACGCACTGTGTAGTCACACAAATCCCATTACTCTTAAACCAGCACATGCATTACTCCAGAAGTTTCTGTGAACAAAGCCTTTCTTTACCTGGTGTTCCAGGTGACCCTTTTGTGCCTGGCAAGCCGTTCAGACCATTTAAGCCTGGAAATCCAGGAAAACCTGAGGAGACATTATCAAAGCTTGAATTGCTAGTTAATAGCAAGTAGTATGTAAGCAGCATCTCTAAGTGGATTAAAAAATATCTAAAACTCAGGAACTATACACATATGTAAAGTTTTAGCAACCTAATACATGCTTCACATTTTTTGAAGAAGGTAGGATTTTCCTTTAGACAGGTCACATTAATGCAAACTTCTCTTGTTGGTTCTTGTAATTATAGCTTTTGCCAGCAACCAAACCCTATTTGTGGAGCCAGACCACAAAGCCATCAAGTGCCTCTCCCTTTTCAAACGTGACTCTTAGAACGTCAAGCAGCTGGAGCCTGCAGTGATACTGCCACGAAATGGGCCGCAGGCTCAGCTGGCCCAAGTACCGTGGGCTGCTACTTGGCTGTCTGTTGTATCAAATTCAGCCAATGAGTGGCTTTGTGAGCTGGCATTTTTCCTTCTGATTGCAGGCTCAAACAAACATGTACCTTTTGGTCCCACAACCCCAAGAGGTCCGATGAATCCTACAGAACCAGGTTGCCCTGGAAGACCTGGAAGACCTGTGTTTCCTCTCAGCCCAGCACTTCCAGGGATTCCTAAAAGACAAGCAACAAAATGGCATGGGACAGACTTTCTCATATGTGCACAGTGGACAACTGTTCTTTATGTTTTGCACAACCGGGTGTGCTCATGTAGTAATGCAATTTGTTTCAGCTTTAGAAGGTGGGGAGAGAAATCAACATTTTATGTAAAAAACACACTTTCTGTGGAAAAAGTTTGTCATTGAAAGCTCCATTTCTTGTCACAAAATTTTAATGAAAATCGAGACCAGCTAGGGCCAGACCTAGGCAGCTAGGGGGAGGCTACTGAAAGTTGGAGACTATAGGTAACTTCATAGATGTTTCAACCTCAGAAGCAGTTCAGAGTCTGGATAATGTCATGACAACTATAACTGACGTTTCCCCTCCCCACTTTCTTTATGGCTGCACCTTTTGGGATATGCCTTGCAGGAGTCCTAATAAAATATCAGCCCTTCTGTACATGTAACTAAAGAACATGGCTCCACATTTCAGATGAGGAACAGAGGGAAATAAAGAGTGTCACATGACATGGGGTCTTATGGAAAGGTATGTTTGATGACACCTCTACTACAGTGAGGCAGCCAGCCCTATCACAGGTGAGGTGAAGAGAGAGAAGATAACAAATACTGCTATGCACTCTGTGGTACCTGGTGGTCCTTGAAGGCCAAGGTCCCCTGGGACTCCTTTAAGGCCATTCGTTCCAGTGCTTCCTGGGTATCCTGGTTCTCCCTTTGGTCCTTCTTTCCCTCTTTCACCTTGAAAGAAACGATCATAATTCACATTAGACAATAACATAATGTTAATATAAAGAGTTAATATAAATACACCAGCTCTTTTATTTATGGATCTGGCATATACTAACATCTTTCTTAGTGTGGGGCATGACAGACTAGATCAGTGTCTGGCTATTTTTGTGAGGAGTCTATTTTTTCCAGGCTCATGGCTGGCCCAGCTTCTACATCACACATCTCTCAGCTGCAGGAAAAGATCCCTCTTGATTCTGGCTTTCAGACAGGAGAATTGCAAACTTGTGCATTTCTGCTCAGGGTTAAACCCTCAAGCTCTTCTCCCCCAAATCCACAATAATTACCTTACCTGGAAATCCAGGATTCCCTCGTTCTCCTTTAGCTCCTGGTTCACCTGGAATTCCAAGCGACTCCCCCCGATCACCTGGGGAAAGGCAAAGAGATGATGTATTTTCGTCAGGCCTCCACTCTGCTGATAGATCATTTCATAATTAACCCCCTCATTCTTAAATTGTAGTCTTATGGGGTTACTCAAACCTCTGCTCCTGAAAATACCAGGTCAGTTTCACTTACTCAACACGGACAAGCTAAATTGCATGCCTAGGATAGAGAAAATGCTTTTAATAGTTTCACCGGCTTTAGATTCAAAACTGCAACGCTTCAGTAAGATAAACATTCAGCGTGGGGAATTATAATGGTTTATAACTCCAAAACTGCCCTTCAGTTCTGTAGTTGTTGATTACGTAGAGATATGAGCACCTCTTGTGCTGTTATACATGTTTTAGAGAGAAGCGCTATGGACAAGATTTTCAAAGAAGCATAAGGTGTTTAGGTACCAAACTCCCCTGGAATATCCCACTGAAGTCACGAGCTTAATTCAGTTGAAAATCTTAGCCTGCACACCTATGCTTTGTCTAGGCAAGCAGGTAGGTTTTTAATATAAAGAGTGCCATGTGCTGGCACCACAAAGTTATGTGGACTAATTTATGCATCTGTAAACTTCAACAAAGTTTTTATTTTTGTTAACTATTGCAAAGGTTTTCCTCACTGTACGGTGTTATTACCATGAGCAGAGCTGAGGACATTTGAAAAGCTCTTCCCCGGTCTGCATGGACTTTTAGTGAACTAAATAAAAGCGCGGAGAAGGGATACACAGAGCAGGTTTCAATACAGAAGATTTCTGGTGAGCAGTGACTGGACCACCAAACCACATTCTAAGGCACATCCCCTCTTTGGTATGAAAGCTGCTTGGAAACTGCACATCCAAGCAACCAAAAAAATTGCAAATACTTGTCATGCTCTCCCCCTTGGTTCTCTTTCACGCTATGGCCTGTGTTGGGTTGTTCCCTTGGAAGAGGCATGGAAATTAGCATGCAACTTCTTACCCTTCGGTCCAATGGAGCCAGTAGTCCCTGGGAATCCTGATGCTCCCGAGATACCCTCCGAACCCTGATAAAAATCATAACATTGTTTGCTTATGCTCATTCTTACAGCCTGCAACTGGGGTGCTGTAGGGTAACACTGAAGTAACATACGTTTATTTAGGAAAAAACGACAATCCCACCTTTCATTTATCAGTATCAGCTCTTTCCAGAAGAGAGCCGATTTTGCTGATAATATGATTCTGGAAGCAGAAACAAGCAGAACACAGGGTTTTTTCTAAGCGCACTTAGAGCAAATGATGCATACTTACACTTTCCCCAGGCATTCCTGGGAATCCTAGGATACCAGCTACTCCCCTCTGTCCAGGAAAGCCAGGTTGTCCAAAGGAGCCAGGGAGACCTGGATCACCTGCTAAGCCTCTCTCCCTGCTTGGTAGCCCACGTGAACCAGGCAGACCAGGTTTCCCCCGGGTTCCACGGAATCCTTTATCACCTGAATTTACCCAAAAGAGAAAGACGTATTATTACTATGTCAGTACAGAGCCACTGAGGGCAGCCAATGAAGTGCCTCTCCAATGTGACCTGAAAATACATAGAGATTCTATTAGTTACACAATAAAGAGCAGGTGTGAAGCACAATTTTTTAAGACAAAATCATGGCAGCCAAGTGAAAGCCTGTTTTGGAATATGAAGAGAGTAATATAGTACTGCCAGATGGATAGCACATCCCTTCCCAGTCACCTATAAGGGGGGGATTAAGGCTGGAAACCTTCCCTTAAAACTTGAGTGCTGAGAAATACCTCTAGGTCCCGGGAATCCTTCCAGTCCAGCTAACCCAGGATCTCCTTTGTCTCCCTTGAATGCCAGCACCAGTTCTTGAGGCTTCAGAACAGGGGGACCAGGTGGACCGGGGTCACCCCTGTCACCTGAAGAAATCAGAATAGTTCAGTTCACACAAGAGAAGGTTTTCTAGAATGAGAGGGTATAAACATGAGAGGCCAGATGAGCTGTCCTCAATGCTGCCACTCCCAATGAAGCCCTGAGATGTGGGAACTTAGTGACGCTGAAAACCAAGCCAGTGGATTTTGCATCCTTACCATATTATATGGGAGAAAGGGGAAAGAACAGCTGGGTGTGCACACATCAGACACAGCTCTCGCCCTCCCTGCTACAGAAAACCCAGACATTGAACCATAATTAGTTTCTCAGAGCTCACCTTTTTGACCAGGAGGTCCAGGAATTCCAGCATTTCCTTTCCTGCCAGTTGTACCAAGACTTCCCTTCAAACCACTCAGCCCAGGGCTGCCAGATGGGCCTGGCATGCCAGGGAAGCCAATCAGACCAGGGGAGCCCTTTTCACCTGTAGGGAAAGAAGTTATGAAACAAAGCAAGAAACTGGAGTCTTTTAAAGTATTTTTCATACTAATCTAACTGGCAAAAGGAGGGAGTGCAGTCTCCTAGGAAAGTGTGACCAGTCAGGACACCAAATACAGTAGTGGTTCCTCAATGGCTCCTTTCCCAGGGTATGTCTTCATTAGCTCTCATGGAATCAGTACCTTCCAAATTTGCTGCTGAGACCTTAGTCTTACTCCCACTAAGATGAAAAAAGCCATTTGACTAAAGGGAAACAACTTCTGACATCAAATCTCTGCTAACTTCCTCCCCCAAAAAAGACAGGACTCTCAAAATATCCTAACTATTGTGTCAGCTCTGAATGGCTAGGAAAGAGATTGACATTTTACTTTTCTCCCAGCTTGTGTGCTTCACTTTGTCTCCCCTAGGATGCCACCCTTGTCCTATCACTGGATTAATCTTTTTCTTCACCTTTATCTTGACTTTTCTGATTCTGCATCTGTCCTTATATTCTAAAGATCATACTCATTCCCACCATAGCAGTGCTTCTGTGTGAAACTGCAATATCTGATTAATCCACAAAGGTTTCCCCTACACAAAAGGGCAAATTTTGCCATATCCATGATATACACAGGTCATTCTCCCCATCAAGGGGTCATCTCTCTCCTAGAGAAAATGAAGTGGACTATTAAGAACACCTTGCTGTATCATTAGTCTGTGACGAGATAAGCTGCATTTGAAAGCTATTTTTTTATCTTCTAAAGCAAATGATAACACAGCATATAGCTGTTTGGTGTTCCTGATATTGTTTCTCCAGTATCTATTCCAGAAGTCTTATCGTCTTCTGTGTTAGTATTACCTATAGATTGAATACTAGGTCACCCACTGCTAACAATACCAACTTGAGCGTTATTTCCACATGGCTGATGCTGGGAACTGGGCTCAGAATTCCTTCGGCAAGTCTAATGAGCAGCCAAACTTTGAATGACCAACCCATTCTAATTCAAACCACTGATCTAGCAGTGAAACAAATTCCAACACAAATTCCCTGTAACTTCCAGTTTTTCCTGACAAGCCCAGGTCTAAAATCATCACAACGTTGCTATTCCTGTGCAGCTGAATGTAATGGTTTAACTGCCATTGTTTGCCAATTCATACATGTACCTTTTCGTCCGGGGAAGCCTGGACGTCCATCTCCACCAGAAGGCCCAGGTGGCCCTAGGAATCCTCTTTCTCCAGGAGGTCCTAGAACACCATCAAGACCCGGGAAGCCTTTCATACCAGCAGGGCCTGGGGGACCTGCATCACCAGTCGGTCCTTGTGCTCCAGGAAGCCCTGAATCAACACAAGTAAAAACTCAATGGCTTTTACCACACAAACTTCATTTCAGTGAATGGTTCTCCAAATGCTTTAAACATAGCACTGTTTTTAATATGAGATGGACCTTAAAATTATGTTACATGCAGCCTTCTAGTAGGCATAAAGTTTAGAAATGCAAAAGCATTAGTCATCTAACAATAAAAGGCCTAAAAGGGTTACTGCCTACATCACTACACAACTGGCAAGAGTGAAACCCCTTATGAATTATTTTGGGCTTTTTTTTTTTTTTTCCAGCAGCCACTGAAGTGGTCAGTAGATCTTACCTTTAACATCAAGGAAGCAAACCAGAGCATGGAATAGGGAACATCAATACTGCCAATGCTTAGTCCCCATCACAGGTTTCTGGGTCAACCAAGGGATCAATTGAAGAGGGGGTGGTCATAAACAAGCTTCCTTTTCACATTAGCATGCCATTATGCAGTTATGCTGCTACTTTTTTATACTAGATCTCTAGGTAAGAGTAATGGAACCGGCTCCTGAATGTTACGATTAACAGCATCTCCAGGGTTAACATTAAAACCATGGATGCTCAATTGTATCTTTAAATATTTCAGAATGTTCTTAGATGCAGCCTAGCAAGCATTTGGGTTTGTTTTTTTTATTAAAGACTCAAACCATCGAAAAAGGGAATGCTCAGATATAACTTAAAGGAAAAAAATCAGGTAGTTTTTGAGAAATGTCATGTAAAGCAGAAATACCAGACTGACTAGCTTTGCAGCACCCTCGAACTTAAGCACTTAAAGGTACAACCTGATTTTTTTTTTTTTTTTTTTTTTTTTTTTTTTTTTTTTTTTTTTTTAAAAGGGGT